AGCGAATCATGACTCGGCTCTCGTGGGGCCGGTGCATCATCTTTAACCGTATCGCCATGCGCGTGCAGAATCCCTCCGCGCGAGGAAAAAACGCTTGCATGGCGATGCGCTCCATCAGGGAGCTTTTGCCGGCACTCTCAGACCCGACAACCACGATCTGGGGGAGCAACAGGTCGTCGGCCAAGCCTCGTGGAAGTTCCTCCATCGCCTCCAAGATACGGCCGTAAGCACCGCTCCGCAACGTCGCACCGATGCTGCCCTCGCCAGCGAATGCGTCCTGGCTCAACACAGCCTGACGGCGCAGCTCCTGATCGTAATTAGCGCGGCGAGATGGCTCCTGAAGCGTGTCCCAGGCCTGCTCGATCTTCTGAAAGATCTGCGTTGCCCGATCGGGCCTGTCTGGATGCCTGTCTGGATGCCAGTGGAGCTGCAGCTCTCTGTGCCGTGCCGCTATCTGCCCATGGGTCGCATTCGGCGGAACACCCAGCACGTCGTACGCCGATGCTGCTGGGTTGAGTATCCGTGCAGCCTCGCTCTCCCGGTCCTGCGTAGCACGCGATTATTGCTCAGGCGATGTGAAGCGCGTGTGGGGGGGGCGGGCAACGCACCGCCATGATGCAAAAAGGCAAGGAGTCACCATGCGGCGGCGCAACCAACAGCTCTGCTTTCGGAGTTCGCGATGGCGTGTCACGCATATAGTCGAGTAGCTTTTTTTTTAGCGCCTTCGTTGTTAATAATACAAATCCCTTCCCTTTGAATTTGAGCAGCCGTGTGGTCTGAGCAGAAGGCGCCGGCTGCAACGAGTCGCAGGAGCACGACGAGGAGCGTCTTCGCCAGCGCGCCGTCGAGCGCTGCCACCATCGATCGCCGAACGCGGCAAGTGCTGTATCTCGCGCTGCCACAGGCTAGCCCACATGTCATGACGTCACATGTGCGCGGTAAAAAGGAGCAAGAGTCTGTGACCTACCTAGTTGTCCGGCATGCGAGGGCATGCTCGGCCGTTCGGAGTCCCCCCTTTTCATGTCACCATTCTCTCGGTTAGCGTGTCTGAACTTGACGGGTGGCTTCCGGGGCGATTCCTGCCTCCGCTTGCGTTGGCGCTGTCGCTGGGCTTTCGGCACCGACCTCTCGTCCTCATCATGCTGCTGGCTCGTCCCCTCTCCCTGGCTCATCGAATCGCTACGTTCATGCTCGAACCGCTCTCTCCTCGGCGGCCGGGGTGCCTCTTCCTCTGGCTGCTCTTCCTCTACGTCCATCACTGTAAAGTCGTCATTTGTTTGGCTATCGTCATTCTGGGGGCCCCTCCTCGGATAGCCGCTCGCTCGGTCCTGGCTCTGTTTTGCGGTCGGGCATCTCTTCGTCGTCGCTCCCCGTGCCGTCGTCGCCGCCGGCTTGGCCGGTGGGGGGGTCCCTGGTTAGACCCCCGCTGTGTCCGAGAAGCAGCTCGAACCTCAGTCGGTCCATGAACTGTTGTGCCGCGCGGCGGTTGTGACGTCCTCGTCGCTTCTCGCAGTGTTACGGCTGCCCTGGCTGTTCTGGCTCCCCTCGCTCTCGGCCTCCAGGCTCTGCTGGCTGTACTGACTCTGGCTCCCCCCGCCCTCCGCCTCTTCCTCCGTTGCCACGTCGGGAAGCTCGAAGAACGCATCGTCGATAAATGCCATCTCGTCGTCCGCCGAGGCGCTCTTGTCTCTCTCGTCGTCCCCCTCGTCGTCGCACGTCTCGCTCTCCGGCGGCTCGCTCTCCATCGAGTTCGTCGTCCCGTCTTCGGGCGCTGGATTGTGAACGGCCTTGTCGTGCTCGGCCGTGTTCCACGGCTCGACCCCGAATCCTGCGCCTCGCGCACCGCGTCGAGGGTCCGTTGTGACACTTGCCTCTCGCCGGGCCGTCTACGCTTTCGGAGGCGGCCGGTCCCGTCCCAGGGTGAAACCGAATCCCAAGCCCCCCGCCCGAAGAAAGAAACCTCCAGAAACCAACCCCCGCAGAAGCCGTCCTGGTTAACCCCCCGGAAAGGCGAACCAAGGGTCCCGGGAACGAGACCCAGGGCCCCCCC